TTTGACCTCATGTGGCGTGGGGCAGAAATTTAGCCCCTTTGAGAGAAGTGAGGTCTCCGATTCGGAGAGAGGAGCACTAAATGTATTGAGCACTGGGCAGACGTCAGGAGTTTGTACGGGTCCGTCCCAAATGGGAGGACATGACAGTAGTGGTGATTGACCATAACCCAAGATGGACAGATGCTCAGAGGAAAAGCAAAGAAAAGTTCTGGATGCAAGATAAGTCATTCCGCCCAAATGGTATTAACAAATTGAATGACTTCACCAGAATGAACGTAAATTAGACCTAATTCCTGATCATACTAAACAAAATTATTCTCTCAATTTAGTGTAAACTCTACAGTTAATTTGTGCCACCAACTCTCGAACAACCACATAACTATGTATTGCTTACGCCTTTGTTAATTATTTTTTCCCGATAATAAGTCCTTAAATATTTAAAATTTATAATTGATCACAATTCATATGTTTGAATATCCCTACTATATGATTTTTCTTTCATTATTCTTTATTAAGTAAAGTTACGCCATTTTGAGAGAATGAATCAATGTACGATTTACTGATTGTCGTAATTAATTAGCATAATTAATTCGTTCAATTATGTAAATCGCACTTCACCCGAGTATACCCGAAAACCGGACGATTTCATAGCGGTCCGGATTTCTTTCTTTATTCGTGTTCTTAAAAATTTCCAATTCAACATGTAATTAAGTATGTAAATATCTAGTGTTTAGTAGTTGTGCTAGTTGTTTTTGTTTCTCTTTTTCCTTTTTTCTTATGACTTTTTAACTTTTTTATTTGTCCTGAGGAAGGGACAGGGCGTCCCGAAAATTTGACAATTTTTATTGTTCGTGTCGTTGGTCATTTTTAGTGCTTTATATAAATTTCCATCCATGACCTTGTATCTACTTGGTAGATCCGACATTTAGGATATACATTGTTGTTGGTTTTTTAGTTTTATATATATATATATATATATATATATATATATATATATGTAGAAAGCACAAAGAAATTCACTTTTACATGGATACCCACTTCCGCCCCAGCCCGGGGTTGAACTCTCGACCTTCGGAATCTGTCTCCTAGCAGTGTAGGAACAGCGCGCTAGACCGCTCGGCTATCTAGGCAAGTCAAAAAACTTGCTTTAAATCCCCATGGAATTCTCGCGGCGCTGTCCTACACTACACGGTCATTGAGAATAGAAGTGAGATACAGTTATTTGGACATTAGTTTTAACAGAGGATTGTTACCAATACATGTTGTAATGAAATTAATTATTTATAAAGCACAATTTACAACAACTCTTAAACTAACATAACTGCCCTAAGTGAAGAAATATTAATATAGAAAGCACAAAGAAATTCACTTTTACATGGATACCAACTTCCGCCCCAGCCCGGGGTTGAACTCTCGACCTTCGGAATCTGTCCCCTTTGGTGCAGGAATATATATATATATATATATATATATATATATATATATATATATATATATATATATATATATATATATATATATAAAAGTATTTTCAGAACATGTGAAATCCAACTTTATTGTTATCAACTTAATTATCAGTATTTATAATTCTATTTAAAGTAAGAAAATACAAAAAATGCAAATTCAAAATTAGCTATTTTAGTAATTGTTATGAATCATATCTAACAAAACATTGACTTGAATACCTTCTTAAAGCTGACAGAAGAAAAACGATATTGGCTCAGGTGAGCTAAATAAAACAAGGGAAGAATGCAGCCTCTAAATATATAGTTAAAAGATTTTGTCCCAAAGCCAGAAAAATATTTTTCCGGTAATAAAATTAGCCACATCAGTATACCAGGAAAATACAAGTATGGAGGAGATGCCACAGAAGTATTTCACTATCCTAGCTGTGTATAGGAACGTGTAAAGACCGGTAGGTAAAGCGGCCAGGTCCGCGAAGACAGAGGGCGCTTTTCGGTCGCAAAGTTTGCAGTTACTACAGACACACTCGGTTGACATCTTGCCTTTTATACAACTGATATAGCAGCAGCAACAAGGAATAAACGTCTTACAGCTGAAATAAATAAACTCCATAAGTTTGACATTTCTAAAGTGAAAATCCCTAATTGTCTTTAAACTGAAATCAATATTGATACATGTATAGAGATATTATTAAGGATATTACGACTCAAATAATGACAGAGTCCAAATGGACTTACAACTGAAATAAGAATTGACTTCAATCTGAATGAATAAAGTAATAAACGACGTAAATATCCTAAATACGAATATTTTTATCAAGAATTCTACAAGTAAATAATAACGATAAATAATGAACTTACTCAAAACAACAACAGCAACATGGACAACAGCACTTGATCAAACCACGGAAGCATTTCTTTAGGTATTTGGTCAAACAAGCGGTCAGGCAAGCGACAAATTTTTCACAAAGTCTAGAACAGACGTTTGAACAGTCACATTTTGTGTTACCGGCTGAAACCTTCAGGTTCGTCAAATAACGCCAACCAGTGCTTAGGGAGAGGAACAGCCGTTAGAAAACGTCTGATTCTCCCGGCGTCCCACACTTTGCATTCGAAACATGTTTCAGATAAACTTTCTTCGAAGCGATGAAGTAAAAAATTTTGTGGAATTTTTATAAATGCGTTTACAAGAAAAATTTCGGTTCGCTCGTCCACATAATCGGTGATTTCAATATCAGGCTGTAGTCGGTGGTTCTGAACGATCTGATAGATGATGTTAGCCATTTGTAGAACAGCAATCACGGTCCCTGCAATGGTTAAATACAAGAATTGTTCAGCGTTTTTTCACTTTTGTCCGTCTTTTGACCGTTGGCACAGATTTCCTTTTTTTCCACTGAGTATCTCTTTTATATCCCCAACAGGATCGCTCATGTCGGAGTATTGCAGCCAATCTGAAACAAGATTAAGAATGATCAAGACTGCAGAGAAGACGCGACAAGTGGTATACCACCAAACTTTTCTCGGCTTCTTCTCTTCCTCCTCCTCTGGCTGAGGCGGCTGTTGTTGATGCTGTGGTTGTGGTACAACTACAAATGGAACTTGAGTGTGCCATGCAGCTGAATGTTGATATCCTTGATGGAGCTGCAAACTGGGTTGGGGGCCACGATCCATTTGCATCTCCCCCGGCGCAGGGTACTGGTGTGAATAAACGGCAGGTAGCCCGCGCTCTTCGTAACTCATTTCCATGTTTTCTGGATAAGCTCTTTCATTTGGATCTCGATCTTGCTGAACATAAAATCCACTCTCCCTGTAGCTCATCCTTGAAGGACCCTGATGTTGCACAGCACGACCATAATCTTCAGCCCTGTGTTCGGCCATTTCATACACTTGCTGTCTTTTCATCAGTTGTTGTCGGTAATCTACATTTTGAATCTCGCGTACTTCTGTAAGCCATGTTTCTGTATCCTCTATCCGAACGATGCTCTCATAATATAGGAAACTCCTATTTCTGTATTCCCTATCCGAAACCCTTGAATGCGCTGGGCTTTGCAATTCTGCGCTCTTCGTCGCCATGATATCCTCCATTCCAGGGCACAATATCCCTACGCCTTGGGCCCAGATCATCAGTTATCCCTCCACTCCTATCTTCCATTCCAATGCTCTCGGGATATTCATCACTCTCATCATCATGTCGACCTTGCTGGTCGTAAGTATTATTCTCTGAGACATGACCATTTCTTGAATCAGACCTGCGACTCCGTCCTCGATCTGCCATGTTATATAAGTGGGACGACAGTATCTTATCTGCTGCACATTATATCATACGATAAATGAAAACTCTTCAAAGAATTTACATGTCAGGCCTATAGCCTGTCAAGCTTACTGATATATATTTTTTCTCAAGTTTTGACATTCAGAAGCCATAAGACATATACCTGCTTTTATTAAGTGGTTGCCCCGGTAAATAATAGCATACACACTCAAAAAACAATGTTCATTAAAATTTTATCGTTTCAGCCTCCATTGGCAGGCATTAATGTATTCTCTTAAAGAAAACTGGGATTAACAAAATAATTATACCGCAGTATATTATGTCGTGTAAAATTATCTTCGGGCTGTACCCTCTCCCAATTCTGAAAACTCCAAATCCGCCGCTTCATTTCTTGACCTTTGGCATTATACACAATGTAGATACTCGGTAATATGGGGGTATTATTTTAGCCTAAAGCTAGGGTGAGAGGACTCCAGCATTTGACGTAACCTCCTTATCCCGAACTCATAGAATCAAAAAGAACTTTGAAATAGCTGAGGATTCGAGATAATCAGGGAAAAACGCTTAACAAATGAGAGACTGGGACTTCCAAATCGCTTCGATATATCCATGGTTTTCAAGATATCAGTGTATTAATGCACATATATAATACTTTAAAACTATATATACATAGTGAATGAAGAAATATTACTTTAAAAGCATAGAAAATTCACATAACAAGAGTACTTTATCCAGACCTAACCTGGGTGGAAATTGCGGATGCTTATTCTGTCTCCAAACAGTACAGCAACAGCGCTCTAGACCACTCAGCTATCCAGGCAAATCAATTCGATGCCAGTGGAATTTCCGAGAGCCATTCTTAACTAGCCCAGATAGTCGAAAAGTCTAGCGTGTTGTTCCTGCTCTGTAACACACAGAATGAATCCATTGCATTCAGTCAACTGAAGGATTACTGAATGATTACTGAAAGGTCTGGGAAGGTCACTGAATGGCAGGACTATTCGGTCATTATTCAGTAGAATTTCGGTCACATTTCTGTCACAAGTAGCTATTCCGTAGATCAAGCGTTCAACCACGGTTTGGACAAGGATAAGTAAAATAAATACTTTAAAAACATTGGTTCATTTTTGCACAATAAGCTAACCAAACAAAAATCATTATTTGTACACCTTTGTAAAATTTCAGCCAGGTGAGCTCGGTTTGATGGATATAGGACAGATGATGTTCACCAGTATATGTTACATGAGATTTGCTTGTTTTTGATAATGGACATGATAACAACGCTATTGGAAGAAATTCTGAAGTGGGTTAAAACGATAAAACGATTACTTGGAAAAAAGATTATCTGTTTTACGTTGACTATGTTCATCTAAGATTAGTATACTTAAGACATCCAAATATAATATGTACCATTTGAAATAATGTACTAAGTATGTGTTCCGATGGGGCAACTCGCACCTTCGCCTTTAGGGCGAAGTTGCGAGGGCAAAGTAGCGAAGTGCGAAGATGCGACGGCCAAGCGCGAATTAAGGTGCGAGAGCGAAAGTACGAAGGCGACTTCGCGTTTTCGCCCTCGCACCTTCGCTCTTTTTTGTGGAGTTCTCACTCCGACATTTGAAAATAATTTCATTTATAACCAGAAGTCTCTGTCGAGACTGAAGCTCTACTAGTTTGTACTTATAGCAAAGGAAGAGAAAAGTACTTAAGCAGTTGGGGATTGAAACTTTACAACAGCAATAAATAAAATAATGATACTTGATTAAGTCTTATGTTCTTAGTATAGTCTACTTGCATGCCACATTATATTTTAATCAGAATAAAACTGTATTTGGAGTAGCATTTTGAGAGTATTAATCAGAAATTTCTATTTTTAGTAACCAAGGCAATAATGTTCATCGAAGTCAAAAACCAATAGATAGAATTGTTTATCTTAGTGTAGTCTACTTGTGTGCCAAGTTATATTGAAATCAGACCAAAACTGTAAGAGATGTAGCATTTTGAGAGAATTGCATAGATTTCTATTTTTAGTAACCACGGCAACACCGTTCATCAAAATCAAAAACCGATACACAGAATTATGTATCTTAGTGTAGTCTACTTGTGTACCAAATTAAATTGAAATCAGAACAAAACTGTAGGAGGAGTAGCATTTTGAAAGAATTTCACAGAAATTTCTATTTTTAGTAACCAAGGCAATAATGTTCATCGAAGTCAAAAACCAATAGATAGAATTGTTTATCTTAGTGTAGTTTACTTGTGTGCCAAGTTATATTGAAATCAGACCAAAGCTGTAGGAGACAGGATTTTGAAAGAATTGCACAGATTTCTATTTTTAGTAACCACGGCAACACCGTTCATCAAAATCAAAAACCGATACACAGAATTATGTATCTTAGTGTAGTCTACTTGTGTACCAAATTAAATTGAAATCAGACCAAAACTGTAGGAGGAGTAACATTTTGAAAAATTGTTTACAGACAGACGGACGGACGCCGGACGCATTACTATCGCATAAGCTGCAGAAGGATAAAACGTACGCTGAACTAGGACCTTAGGTCCCCCGCATAGTTCACGTCTATCGGGTCTGTTTACTCCGCTACAAAATGTAGTGCGTTGTATAAGTAAAGTGAAAATAGAATAAATCGTAATACTGTGAAGCCTTTTCAGTGTTAAAAAAACAGAAAATTTATTTTTGTCACGGGAATAACCATCTGTGATGGGTAGTAGAAAACAAAGAGGAGGAGGGGGTTGCTGAGCAACATTATTATAAGATATATGATATATTAGAATTTAACATTTATGGATTATGTTGGGTGACCTGTGGTCTCCCCTATGATTTTATTATTCCATGTAAGGTTATAGCATCTATATAACACAGTGCCTAACCTCTGATCTCCTTACTAATAGTAAGCGACTCAGAGTAAACGACGTACGTCCAGTCTCTGCATTCGCAGATCTCTAACAAGCAGGGGGGGGGGGGTTGAAAATTTTGCCCCCTACCACCCCATTTTCATTTCGCTCGGACTTTTCACCAATCCTTTAACATAATGGAATAATTATTTGTTAGTAAATTATTTAATGTCTCTTTTGTCTTCCTTATGAGGTCATGCTTAAATAGGCGACCTCATCACTTTAACAATCTTTGCCGGAAATCCCTGATATTTATTTATCTTACA